AGCACTTCCCAGTACTACTTTGTACTACAAAGCTTGCACAAAGCACTTCCCAGTACGACTTTGTACTACAAACTGACATGACAACCTGCTGGACACCTTCGAAAAGGAGATGTTTTTTTGCAGCTTCCCCGATAGACACGGCGACGCCACAGGAAAACCAGAGACTCGAGACGAGACACGTGGGCGCAGCAAAACGAGCATTTCGTGCGAGACATCCTCCAATTTTGACACTTTCGACACGTTATCAAACAGGTTGGAATGTCACAAAGTGCCACGCCTGCCACGCAAAACGACATGACAACCTGCTTGGACACCTTCGAAAAGGATAGGTTTTTGCAGCTTCCCCAATAGACACGGCGACGCCACAGGAAAACCAGAGACTCGAGATGAGCCACGTGGGATCAGCAAAACGAGCATTTCGTGCGAGGCATCCTCCAATTTTGACACTTTTGACACGTCATCAAACAGGTTGGAATGTCACAAAGTGCCACGCCTGCCACGCAAAACGACATGACAACCTGCTTGAACACATTCGAAAAGGAGAGGTTTTGCAGCTTCCCCCATAGAGACGGAATTAACGACCCGACTACGACCCCCTGCCGACCCGACGACGACGCGACGGCGACCCGACGGCGACCCGACGAGCCATTCGAGGCGAACAAGGGTCCAGCCCCCAGACCCCAAGACTATAAACGGGAACCCTTCGCTACAAACACGTTTGCTTCCACATGGCTAACCTGGACTCCACATTTTTGGGTAGGGCATCCTGGGTCATGATGTTTTAGAAAAGATATTTTGAGGGCCGAACGAGATGCCTGTGGATTTTGTCAAATTTGCAATAACTGCTGTTGTGTGCCGGCCATCGCTTGTATCACAAATGAGTCAAACAAACTACTGGTACTAGATTGACAACAAATTTCAAATGTTTGTGGCATACACATGGCTAACACGGACCTCTGATTCTTTAGAATTGTTTGTGTATGTGTACGTTTTTGTTTTTTTTGTAGTTGGTTGCCTGGGTCATGATGATTTAGAGGGTGTCAGACCCCCAGTTATCCTAGGTAGTGTCTAAAACAAATCAGGTGCCCATGTGAGCAGGCAAATTCCCAGAAGGATGGTAAATCATCACACAGCCTCTATGACTGTCATTTTTCTATAGCAAAACTGTTCAAAAACCAGAGTGTAACCATCTAATCCATCATATATCCCATGAAATCCATTGAAATCCCATGAAATCCCTTTTGATGGGTTATTTCTAACATTAACACTCTAACACCATCTAACACCCATGGCTCCCAGGCATGGAAATCGCCTGGCGGTGGGCAATTTCTTGAATCATCCCAAGCAGGGGCAGTTGTACCTCGTCGCCAAAAAAGGAGGGGATAGGGGGTTGAGGATAGGTTGGAGACCTATAGTACTGACAGTACTGACTTTCTGTACGCAAAACTGCTTGGGTTTAAGGTTGTATACTGTATAGCCTGTATAGCGTTTTTTTGCTGATGGCCTTGAAATGGTTTGAATACTCGATGTTTTGCTTTTTCAAATGTGACCTTTCCTGCTTGGGAAGATACTTTGCGTTTCCAGTGTAGCATGGTTCTGGGGCCGTTGGGAACATGATTTTGGAGTCATGTATATTTCGGCTATAAAGGTGACAAGATGTATCTCCCTATACCCTAATTTTGTAGCTAAAGATGGGTGCAATGTTGGGGTAAAATACCTTATTCTGGATACTTCCTGAGAAGGGACCTTACCCTGTAAATCTCGGAAGGTACTTGGATTCTTAGCGCCTGTATGGCTTTGCTTGAAAATCAGGTTCCCTGTAATCCCACGGATTTTCATTATCTTCCATGTTTGTCTTCCTGCAATTATACCACCTTGAGGTATACGATATGCGGTTCAGATATGTACATCATTGCCGGTTCAGATACCAACTATTCATTTCATGGTACATCTTCCCAATTTGATCCAAACAACCCGGGGTAAAACACAGACAAAGCCCAGGCCGAACTGTGTGCCGCAACTTGGCGATTGGACTGCCTAGCAGTTTGCTATGGAAGCCATGAGTGGTTAAACAATGGCATATGTAACCATCAACAATAGGGAGTCACGTGATTTTATGGGATATATGATATATGATGGATCATGATGGTTAGCCATCATGGTTATTTGTTGCACTTTGCGGTATACATTACATGGCTCATAGAATTAAATTGTGTATGATGATTTACTTATATAATTATACATGGTGATTTATGATGAATTATCCTCCAGTAATCAAACGTAGCTAGCTGAGAAATCCCCGAACTAGCCATGAAGGTTTATAGCTGGGAACATCCCCTACCTAACTAAGAAGGGTTTTGATAGGCAAGCCACGTCTTATTTCTGGAGAGCAATTCGTAGCTATTCCATCAATGAGATGCCATACGCCAGAACTATATGGTTATTTCGTGCTAATGAGGGACCATGATGATTTCCAAATAGCCCATAGGAATGTCGAGATTTTTGTTCCCCATGTCGTGTTGTTTTTTTGTGCGTTCACTTTTTTGGGGGATTTTGAGTCTCTAGGATCGAAGTAAAACGAATCTTGGTGAATTTGATGAATCCTGAATCCTTGGGGAATCCCATAGGTTGCTGCAAAAACGCCACATATGGGTCATCCAGCCCCATGGATCATTCCATATACAGTAATTTCCCATGTTTGGGACATTGTGGTATTTAAAGTCCTGTGAATTATCAATGCTGTATTCGTACACTGACAAAAATATATCAACCTTGATATTCATAATATTTCGTATCCCAATTCTATGGAATATCTGTGATATGTTGTACCATGGATACCATCCTACAAATTCTTTCTTGGCGGTAAGCCGTGACTTGCTGTTCAGGGCGCAGCTCATTTGATCCCATGGTCGCGAATAGCATTTTTTCAAAAAATGGCACTTGCAACTCTTGGGCAACACTCCATTTAAAATCTATGGTCAAACCATGTCAAATATGTATTCATTAGTTAAATCCCTACATTTCGATGCTTAAACCTGGTGTTTCAGTAGTGCTCCAATGTGTTGCGCTTGAACACTAGCCATAAGTGAGGAAAGTTTCTCAGTTTCCGTATTAAGCAAGTTTTCTCCACTTGTTTCCCTGATATTCACTAAATGAGTCATGTTAAATCAAAAGCAATGATGGCTCTAGGCCCTTTGTTTCATCATTGGTCGTGCTGAAACATATTTCCTTTTCAAGTTGATTGCTAAATCTAAAATGTTTCATCATATTTTTGATGTTTCATTCCCCATTGCTCCAAACATGTGGAAATCAAGTTGGTAAAGTTGTACAGTCCCACAAATATCATATATATATATATATGTATACAAATATAAATATACGTATCTATATGCATATACGTACATACATATATATACATATACGTATATATGATATATATATATACATACATATATGTACAATATATATATGCATATATATTTATGCATATATATATACATATACATATACATATCCATATACGTATATATATATATATACACATATATATACAATTTAAATATATATATATATATATACATACATATACGTGCATATATATATATATATATATACGTGCATATATATATATACACATATATATTTACATATACGTATATAATATATATTTATATTTACATACATATACGTACAAATATATATATATATATATATGCAAATATACATATATACATATACGTATAATTGATATATGCATATATATATATATATACATACATATACGTACAATATATATATAGATATCTATATATGCATATATATATATATACATACGTAAATTTATATATATATATATATATACATACATATACGTACATATATATATGCATATATATTTACATATACGTATATAATTTATATATATATACACATACATATACGTACAAAAATATATAAATATATATTTAAATATAAATATATATATATATATATTTGCATATATATATACATATACATATATAATATAAATATATATATATACATACATATACGTACATGTACACATATTTAAATATATATGCATATATACATATACGAATATAATTTAAATATATATATATATACATACATTTACGTACAAACATATATATATATATATGCATGTTTATTTGCATATATATACATATACGTATATATATATATACATACATATACGTACATATATATATATATGCATGTATATATATATATATACATACGTATAAAATATATATATATATATACATACATACACATACATATATATATATATGCATATATATATACATATGCGTATATAATATAATTTTATATTTTTATATATATATATATATATACATAGGTACATATATATATTTATATTTATGCAAATATATATATATATATATATATAGATACATATACGTATAATATAAATATATATATATACATACATATATGTACAAATATATATATATTTACATACATATACGTACAAATATATATATATACATATACGTATAATATTTATATATATATATACATACATATACGTACAAATATATATATATATATATGTACATTATTACTGATCCCCATGAATCTCCCATGATCCGCATTTTTTGGGGTGAAAAACGGACGAGGATGGTCTTCCATTGGCCCTGCTGGCAGCAGCTGGAGCAGCTGTCGCCGGCCTTTTGGGCGCGGCTCGTTCCACATGTGGTGCTGGGCGAGAAGGGCCAGCCACCTGGCAACCTGGAGATGTTACCCTCTGGTAAACTAACATAACTATGGAAAATCACCATTTTCAATGGGTAAATCCACTATAAATGGGTCATTTTCAATAGCTATGTTAAATTACCCGAGGGTAAATGCTGTTAAATCACTTGGACACTTTTCAAGACGTAGAGGTTTTTATGCTCTTTAACGGATGATCCCGTAATTTCAATAGATGATTTGCGCATTAAAACCTTTATTTGTAGATTGTGATATAGAAATTTGAACTTCAAAAAACTATGTAGTATTATATAGATGCCAACTTATTTTGCCTTCCAGTGTCATCAAACATGGCTAGCTGGATTATCCTGCCATTTACAGATGTTTTTCCTATTAGAACCTCCGTTTATAGAATATGTTCCATTGACGTGATTGATTTCCGGAAGGTATAGTTGGATAATTGGATATATGATATGAGCTTCAAACAGCTATATAATATAGTTTTGAAGAACTGGAATTATAAATGTCAAGTTCGTTTATACATGAAACAGTTGAACGATATGCAAAGCCGAGAAGGCATGATTGTTATTCCCCATATATCCATGTCACATGTGGATGATATTATATCATGATAAAACCGGATATAGCAATAGTAACCGTGTGCAAAACAACAACGTGGATTGTGTGTGGTTTTAAATCTATGGGCTCTCTGGACACATATTTGTGTGCGCGTGACATCTAAACACCGCGCTGCCACATTACTGGAATGATCTTCAGGAGTGGGAAAACTATCCCAACATGGCTGCACTTTTCAGGTGGATGAGTGAATGATTAATAATGTATGATATAGTTTATGTATATATATTATGTATTATTATATATTTATGTTTTACTCATGATATATATGGAAATGGTAGATATAACCACAAACAAAAATACATGGAGATCCATTGAACTGGAGATGGACATAGTACCATCGATGGTAATACTCATCCTCTTCACATCCAGACCCAAAGATGGGGAAAGGATGTGATATGCCAAAAATAAGGACTTTAAGAAGTGGGGGCCCAAAACCATGCTGTTTTTTTTTTGGCAGGATGCTATATAGAAGATAGTTGCTTCAGAAGTTGCAGGTGCGTAACTGTCCTATATCGGGCTTGGTATGAATTACAGATAGCAACTACAGGTGGAGCCACCCCAGAAAGAGTTGACTTTGCAGAGAATAAGAGGGTGGTGAGTCCTTGAGGCAATCTTCAAGCCGGGCAACCCTGAAAGGCAAAAGACTTTATGTTACTTTTGGGCAGAAATTATATGAAAAACTCAAGCGGATAGATGCAGAAACACTGCCAGACTAGGCTGGAAGATTTTGTGGTCCACGTTTTTGAGAACCACTGTCTGTTTTGTAGTGGACTGAACTGGACGCATTGAAGGTTTCACATGGTTTCACAGCATCAGATGATCATGGTGTTGAACTTCCAATGAATTTTGTTATTTTTGGAATGTCTGAATTCCGAACCAGGATTCTGGCTTCCTTCTGGATCTTTCCTTCATGGAAACAGCGCCTGCGAAAAATCTCGCCTCTGTCAGGTTGGTGCGAACGCCAAGTGGTGGCATTGGTCAAGACGATCAGGCCGGATGTTGGCTGCAAGATCAAGAGGCTATCAGTACATTATAATTGTGGTTAGTATAATATAGTATAATATACGCCAACGAAAACTGGCATTCACCCGCAGGTTTGGTCAATTTTGGACATTTCTAGTAGTTCCATCTCTTTTTTCGGGGTATAGCAACCCAGAAAAGTAATGAAAGGTAAAATCCGAACCTAAAATAGGGATATACGTCCTTTTCTATCTCTTTGGAAGGGTTACCACAACTGATTTTGATCCTTATTCCCATCACTGCACCAACAAACTCTGACACCTGGCGAGTGTTTGATGATGTCATTTGGGTGATGCTTTCACATTTGGTCAAACAATGGGATGACAATGGACCAATATAAAACCAATGACCCAAGCGCCTAATGACCCAATGACCAGCATATGTTTCAGGTGGCTCAGTTTCCCGAGGCAACGTTTCCAGCCTGGCCGCACATGGGCATGGCCATGTTCTCACTGCGAGGCACCTCGAAAACCCGGGAACTCCGCCAAGGTGCTGCCTCCTGGATAGCTAAGATTGCTTATATCTATTGAATAAGGATCTACAATGATTTATCGTAGATATTAGTGTATATCTGTGTATCTGTCTATATATATATATATATGTTCTATGTATATATGCATATGCATATATATATATATACACATTATAGTGATAGGTGTTGATAAACCAACTTATGACTAGGGGCACCATCTTGTCTATGACCAAAGTTTTGGATATCATATAGAGACTTCACCACGACGTCACGACGTAAATGATGGGTAGAATATATGACTCATCTCACAAAGGGCTTATTTCAGGCCGGTGAATGATTCAACACTAATTAACATAAATTACTTTGGATTACTCTAATTTATCCAGATGCATGACCATAATCCTAAATGGCCACATATTAGGAGTCTCAACCAGATGACAAGCTATCACAGCCACCTGCTTTCAGATAGCTTTATTTTTGTTCTTTATAGATCACTACAAGCACAGATGAAACGAAACCCTAAAGTCAGATCTATCCAAAAGTAAAATTGCAATAAGTCAATAAGCAACATCTTTCTTAAAACCCGAACAAGATCCAAAAGTAAACCCGTCTCACAGCATCTTTCCAAATATCAATTATCATAATTCTTCCTGTTGATGGTAAACACCCTATTTTTTATGGTTGCATCCCTATTTAAAAAAAAAAACACACACATCTTTCCCGGCAGGGTTCGCCCAGGCATCCAGCCGGGTGAGGAATTGCTCCTGAACTATCGCCTTTCAGCGCCCTTCCCCAGTGCCTCGGGACAGAGTGCCCATGGAAATGGATGATTTATGATGATTTATTGATGAAAAATAATGAAAATGGATGAGATGGCCTATGGATTCTATGGATGATGATTTGTGGTGAATCATCCATTTGATGAAAGCTAGGAAAATGAATGAACATGAATGAACATGGCCCATTTATAGGTGATGTATGATGAATTGATGTTCCACACCAGACTATGAAATTACCATAGGGTATCTTGGAAACACAAGTTCTTGCAGTTGACTGAGTTTTTTTTGAGGGACACCTCAATCCGCCGATTCATTATCATGTCATAGATGTTCATTTTTTCACAATGGCCACATTTGGCCATCGAATTTCATACTTGTAAGATGCAGTAGCGCAACATTTTCAAATACGCACTGGTGTGGCTGTCTTTGGGGAAAGGTCCGCAGGTTCATTTATTTTGTGGGGGCATGTACCATTTTCTTTTGCTGGTTTATTAATACCGTATCCAACACGCCATCAACATGCAATATTTACATATACATACAAACAATATGGTTATATAATGAGATGTACATATATACATACATATATATATACAGATATACATGATAACGTGCACAGAAAACAAAATGTACAACTCACACATATATACATTATAAATATGTATATATATATTTATGATTATGTACACACAAAAGCAAATGTACAACATATATATATATATTATAAACATATATATATATATCATAATGTACACAGAAAAGCAAATGTACAATTCATTCACATATACCTATATACATACATACATACATACATACATACATACATACATACATCCATCCATCCATCCATCCATCCATCCATGCATGCATGCATGCATGCATGCATGCATGCATGCATGCACATACATACACATACATACACATACATACACATACATACACATACATACACATACATACACATACATACACATACATACACATACATACATACATACGTAATACATACATACATACACACATACACACATACACAAATACACGCATACACACATCCACACATACACGCATACACACATGGACACACACATACATGCATACATGCATACATGCATACCTACATACCTACATACCTACATACCTACATACCTACATACCTACATAGATACATACCTACATACATACATACATACATACATACATACATACATACATACATACCTACATACATACCCCTATATATACTCACATATATATATATATATACATATATATATACATATACATATATATATATATACACATATATTTACACAATATATACACATATATACACACATATATACACATATACAAACATATATTTATATACGTATTTATATATACATATATAGATATATACACATTCACACATATAGACACACATATATACACATATACACTCATATACACATACACACATATAGACACACATATATACACATATACACTCATATACACTCATATACACATACACATACACATACACATACACATACACATACATACACATAAAGACAGACAGACAGATAGGCAGACAGCCAGACAGTCAGACGACATACATACATACATACATACATACATACATACATACATACATACATACATACATACATACATACATACATACATACATACATACATACATACATACATACATACATACATACATACATACATACATGTTTGTACACAAAAACTGCTTTGGATCGATCTCAATCTTCGGTCGCATTGTCTATCCAAGTTTTGAGGCTGGTACGTGCCAGTGGATGACGCAGAACTGGAGGCTGCTCTCGACGCGGAAGGCTGAGGCTATTTGCCGAGCCCATTTGCCGAGCCTCAGATGGTCCAGAAGGAGTTGGCAGTTGAGCTCATTGACAGAGACTGGATCAACCTTGGTTAGATACTTTAGTACTTTTTTTTTGCTATGAATGGAAATATGTACCAACCAGCAAAACAAATGAAAGGTATCTAAGTTTCACCATGGAGATGTGTCGAATGGGTTGAAGCGATTGTGTTTTTTTTCAGGTACAATCTACATAAAAAGTTGTCAACATGTTGTAGTTGCAATGATATCAACGCGGGTCATCTCTGCTATTTTTTTCAAGCCACATATATTTGAGATACAGAGGGCTCCCAAGATTTTGCGGAGAAGCCACTGCCAGAGTCAGCAATATGGCCTGAATGTAGGTTGCTTGTGGCGGTTAAAACTGCTGCCACTGACAGCATAGCGGTGAAGACAAAGTTGCTTCCCACATGCGTTGGCTGAAATAAGTTGGGGTGGCTGGATCAGTGTGAACCCCGGGATTTGCCAAACCTCTAGGCTGTTAAAAGATGGAAGGGAGGGTGCCCATTTTAGAAGCTGATTAAATCAATATTTGTTGGGTAGACCTCCCAATTTCATTGGTGGTCTAGGACTTTAAAGGTGTTCTGAAAATAGTTTGCCCGCAAACCGATTGGTTTTTCATCATGTTATTCATCAATTAAAGCCATAATGCCAAACACATCCCTGTATATTCCCACGGTTGTTATTTGATATGCCATCTGTGTTACTAGTTGTTATAGATATTTATGTTTCGTTCCATCAGCTCTTGATGAAACCATGTTAAATCCTTTTGTTTTGGGTGGGCCACAGAATGACTCTACTACTTAGTGACTGAGTTATACCCCCAAACAAAACATAACAAAACTGGGTACTGGGTTGTAAACCAATTACTAGCTAGACAACTAACTCCATGGCCCATCTAAGTTTGGTCGTGCCACTGTTGACCGTTAATCTCCGCATCAAGATCTCAATAGTTGCAATTTGATCCGCTGTGATTGTTGCTAAACACTTTTGTTTTTGTCAGTTAAACCACCTACCTGGACTTGTCTGAATTCGCTAAAACCCAGTCGTTCATCGTCATTTTGCTTTTCCAAAGTGCGTTTCCATGGTCTGCCCTTTTTTTAGATACATTCAAGTGCCATGATTCACTGATTCACTCGTCAAATGATCCAAAACCCTGTGTTGATGATCAGGTCCCCGTGTTTTACCAAATTTCGATTGTTAAGTCCGATTTTCCCAATGGTTTTCAACAGGTTTCCCTATGCTTTTTCCCACATCTTTGTGTGGGGTTCTTGTTTTGATTCTGTATCCCGCCGCTCCTCCTCCTCCGCCTCCTCGTCCTCCGCCTCCCCCTCCGCTCTTTCACACACATCTTTGTCAACCACCATCTGTCACACACATCTTTGTCAACCACCATCTTTCACACCACCATCTGTCACATTCCGCTCTTTCACACACATCTTTGTCAACACATCTTTGTCAACCACCATCTTTCACACCACCATCTGTCACATTCCGCTCTTTCACACACATCTTTGTCAACCACCATCTTTCACACCACCATCTGTCACGCACACACCCCACCATCTTTCATCACGCATCTTTTCACACACATCCTTGTCACACACCATCTGTCACACATTGTCACACACCATCTCTCATCTTTCACACACATCTTTGTCACACATCATCTTTCACACACATCTTTGTCACACACCATCTGTCACACATCATCTTTGTCAACCATCTTTGTCAACCACCATCTGTCACACACATCTTTATCAACCACCATCTTTCCCGCCATCTGTCACACACAAGTTTGTCAACCACCATCCTTCACACACACACATCTTTGTCACACACCATCTGTCACACACATCTTTGTCACACACACCATCTGTCACACACCATCTCTCATCTTTCACACACATCTATGTCACACATCATCTTTCACACACATCTTTGTCACACACCATCTGTCACACATCATCTTTGTCAACCATCTTTGTCAACCACCATCTGTCACACACATCTTTATCAACCACCATCTTTCCCGCCATCTGTCACACACAACTTTGTCAACCACCATCCTTCACACACATCTTTGTCACACACCATCTGTCACACACATCTTTGTCAACCACCATCTTTCACACACATCTTTTACGTGGCGGGTGTGGCACTTGGCGACATCGGGCCTCCGCGGCATTTTGCGTGGCAGGCGTGGCACTTGGTGGCATCCACCGTAGTTTTACACATCCACCTTCGTTTTGCGGGGCAGGCGTGGCACTTGGCGACATCCACCTGCGTTTTGGCGACATCTATGCAGCATGGCATTTATGGCACTGGGCTGGCTCTGGTGGCGCGCTTGGACTGCATTAGTCAACGGTGACACCGTGGCACTTTCCGTGGCAGGCGTGGCACTTGGCAACATTTGCCAATGTTTCGCGTGGCAGGCGTGGCATTTGGCGACATCCACCTTCGTTTGGCGTGGCAGGTGTGGCACTTATGGCACTGGGCTGGCTCTGGTAGCGCGCTTGGACTGGATTAGTCGCCGGTGACGCCGCGGCACTTTGCGTGGCAGGCGTGGCACTTGGCGACATCCGCCTTGTTTTTGCGTGGCAGGCGTGGCACTTTTGGCACTGGGCTGTCTCTGGTGGCGCACTTGGACTGGATTAGTCGCCGGTGACGCCCGCGGCACTTTGCGTGGCAGGCATGGCACTCTGCGACATTCGCCTTCGTTTCATGTGGCAGGCGTGGCATTTGGCAACATCCGCCTTGGTTTTGCGTGGCAGGTGTGGCACTTATGGCACTGGGCTGGCTCTGGTAGCGCGCTTGGACTGGATTAGTCGCCGGTGACGCCGCGGCACTTTGCGTGGCAGGCGTGGCACTTGGCGACATTCGCCTTCGTTTCACGTGGCAGGCGTGGCACTTGGCGACATCCGCCCTAATTTTACGTGGCAGGCGTGGCACTTATATGGCACTGGGCTGGCTCTGATGGCGCGCTTGGACTGGGTTAGTCGCCGGTGACGTCGCGGCACTTTGTGTTGCAGGCGTGGCGCTTGGCGACATTTGCTTTCGTTTTGCGTGGCAGGCGTGGCATGTGGCGACATCCGCCCTAATTTTGCGTGGCATGCATGGTACTTATGGCACTGGGCTGGCTCTGGTGGCGCGCTTGGGCTGGATTAGTCGCCGCTGACGCCGCGGCACTTTGCGTGGCAGCACTTATGGTATACTGGGCTGGCTCTGGTGGCGCGCTTGGACTGGATTAGTCGCCGGTGACGCCGCGGCACTTTGCGTGGCAGGCGTGGCACTTGGCAACATTTGCCATTGTTTCGCGTGGCAGGCGTGGCATTTGGCGACATCCACCTTCGTTTGGCGTGGCAGGCGTCAACTCTTCACACACAACTTGTTTTACTTCTCGATCATCCATCACATCCTTTGTCTTTCCTTCCTTCCCCGTCCCCCCTACAACATTTGTAGATCATTATTGGAAGAAGTTGACTTGTGGGGTTATCCGGTCCTTTAATTGGCTTTCAACATGGTTTTCCCTTTGTTTTTTCAAACTCATCATTTTCTGATTCCCTGGTATCCTTTCGTGCACCGAGGCCGAGGCGCAAGGACACTCCCTGCGCAATTCTCCGCCGAGAACCCCGGGCACGGATGTGCGGGCGCGAGCCTCCCCGCTGGAGGCACTGGATCCGGGGGATCCTTGGAGAGGGGCAAAAGGTGGCTGAACTGAGATGTTTTTTGCTGATAGTATGATTTAATTATATTTAATTTAAGTTAATGTGAGTTCATGAACAGAAATCCATGTGGTGGTACAATAATAGGGAGATTATCTAATGGGATATTGATAATACTGGCTTATATAACTACAAAACTATATGTGCCATGGTCAAGCTAGTTGGATTTTATACTCAGTCCTTTGGGGGTGGTCATGAATTCACTAGTAAGGATGAACACAAATACCATCTTGTTTCAGGTTTCCGCTTTTGAGATGGATGACTAAAAACCATGTGTATCTTTTGTCCCTAAGACATATGTGGATTTAAATGATCATATATGGTGGTACAACATGGTCTAATCAGATATGTGGTTATATTCTATATATATAATTATTTATATATATATATTATCATAAATTATAAATATGTGGATTTAATGAGGACATCCGCATGACTTGCAATGAATTATAGTGGCTTCGCATCGTGTCATCACTGGAATGATGGTTTTCAGCTTAGTGAATTGTTATATCTCTTTCGGCCACATATGATTGATATAATGGGATATTAACAAACATATTAAGACCCCGGTGGTTGATTGTTATAGGGTGTTATGCTGTCGAATATATTGGGGATTTTAGTGAACAAGTAAGTTACTTGAGTTGTAATGGTGGATTACCTAGTCATTTTAATAATGGGAGTATACTTGGAATATACAGTAATGGGAATGTAGCAAAAACAGCAAGATGATTTGGATGTGAAAATTTGATATAACCCCAAACAGCCTTAATCAATCAGGAACATGATGATTAACCAGTGTACTAGGGTTTTTATACTTTTTTCAGACAAACCCGCACGGGGACCCAACCCACATGGGGAACCAACCCATTCCGGAACGACCCAAATTTTGCACGGATGTGTTGAAACTTACGCAGGAAGCAGCAATAATCGGTAGATGATGTTAAATGATGTTAAATATATCCTTGTTGGGCTGAAGTGCCTTCTAAGTGCCTTCTAAGGAAAGATTTGCATCCAGCCATAGAGGACGCAATTTTAAGCAGCTGGGAATGGGGAATCCACCATTATGCCGACAGGCAATGAAGGGGATGCGATCACAAGCATGAGATAATTCATGACTGTTGGTGCAATGTTACCATCATCAGAACAAATATATACGTATAAACGTATAAAGTATAACTATGATTATTATTTTGACCATTGTACCCTTCGAACTTTAACCAGCAGAAACTTATCATATCAGACCAGCCGGCAGCAGTAAGAAGTGATTAAGAACAAGTTGTGGTCCACCATTGTGAGGACCAGTTGGACAGGGATGTTAGCGAAACAAATACAGAAACGGTGATATTAACCACCTATCATATTGAGACCACACATGAAAAATGGAGGTACCAACCAATCCGAAATGGACAATGTGTCCAATGGGTCAAACATTCCAAACGAGGGACTGGTCGTTTTTGGAGTACAAACCAAAAGAAAATGCCCCAACCCACCACATTCCGCCTGCAAAAAAGTGCACTGACCTCAAGGTAGGCTCCAACCAATCACATTGGCTGTGCAATTCCAGTTGAGTTGATGTATGAACATAGTATGCCATAGTCACAGGTTTTGCTTCCTAATGAAGCTGAATAGTGTGTTGTATTCAAAAAACAAAATAATATATATATATATATATATGTATTAATAGATCATATTAAATCATATTAGATCATGACAGTGGGTTTTCATGTAAAATTCATTCCCATGGTGGGTCTAATCCTAATCTGTCGCCTGCTGCGAAGGTCCAAAATGTGGCACCTCGGGCGAGGCTCCAAACAGCCACTGAGAAGGTGTAACTAGGCCCCAAAACCAACCCCAAAATACAGTCTCAGAAGGGGTTTGGAGCCGTAGGGATTTCTAATCATGTTGTTTACGTATAAATATATAAATATATAACATATATAATAAATATATAATAAATATATAATATATATATATGAGCGACGGCTTCCATTTGGTTAAATGGAAAATAGTATTGTGGCGTACCCCGGTTTGTCAAAAGCATTATAATTAGGCTGTAAAACGAGGTAGGAACACCCCGAGAACGAGGTAGGCATCGCATGTAGAGCATTTACCTAATAAGACCAAGTGCGGAATGAGAGAACGTGGTCGGACCCCAAAAAACGTGACCGGACTGGAGAACGAGGTAGGAACACCCCGTCAATTGCGTGCAAATAACTTCCGCGGCTAATATGTATATATATATATATTACATATAGCAACCACAAAAAGATGCCAAACAGTACTTCCAGTATATTATGGATGATGTTTACTTCATAATTTTGTTGTTTGTTTTCTTCTTTTTTTTTGGGGGGTGGTGCTACTATGTGTGTGTATATATCTTTATATATGATATATGTTTTACAGTAAAATCACGACTTCACATGTATACATTTAAGTCATTGTCCAAGTCATAATTATGATGGAATAATGGTTAGTAATGGAAATCATCCCAGACAGCCCTATTTCAGGTATCTTCCGGTTTGTGAAATATTTGATTTTAGCCAGAAAATATGTCGAATATATAGAGAGAGAGAGAGGGTAAGTATGAGTAAATAATTCAAATCAGAATCCCTATCTTATCTATCAGGCCAGATTTTAGTTGTTTGAAGGGTCTCAGATGTTGAAATGGTACAAGCAACACTCAACAGGAATACAACAAGCAAGAGCTGAAAAACAGAGTTTTGTGGCTGAGAACTGCCGATAATGATCCCGAGGGCGTGTATTTCAACTGTTTAACTATAACTAGAATTGTACATATACAGTCTACATGTCTACATAGTATACAGCATATATATATATATATATATATCATATATATATATATATAGTCTATAATATATATTTAATATTTGTTTTATATGTATTATATATGTTATATATACTACATATATATATATACTACATATATATATATATAAATTAATATATTTATATTTTATACAATTTTTACAATATATATATATATCAAATATAATATATATATTATATTTTAAATACAATATGTATCATAGTTTATATTTCATTTATTGAACATATGTTTGTACAATATTATATATATATATATTATATACATTATATTATATATATATTATAGATATTATACGGTTTATATATATACTACATATACTATATATATCATATATATCATAAAATATACTTATATAATATAATTGTAATATATTTAATATATATAATAATAATATATATATATAATAAATGTAATATATACATTATTTCTATTATATTTATTATATATAATCTTATTTTTATTTTTTTTATATAATATATTTAATATATAATATAATATATATATATTAGTTTTTTCAAAATGTATATAATATTTCCAAAAGTATGTATTTAATATAATATATAAAATATCATTAATATATCTATATATATCATATAATATATATAACATATTTTATATACATGTGAAATAAGAGTCTTCTAATCCCAAGTCGCATTTATCCATTCCATTGAGGTTTAATTTCCGAAAATTGGTGATCGTAGCACAGGCCGAAGACCTTTAGCATTGCCATTCAAACGGACCTGGCACGTCCAGATGCTTGGTGGAACAGACCCGTCCCTTCCTGAATGCCATGGAGTTCCACATTATGGCATATATCTATCCCTATGGATCAAGATATTTCCTGAGAACGGTCAAATCGCCCTCCAATATGCATTTCCCATTTTTTTTGCTCAGCAGGTATGGTTGGATCCATAGGGGATGTGAATTCATCACAGGGTGTTTATGTTTATGTTTGATCCCTTAATTGAGTCGAAGAACATTCAGTGCACTTCTGAATGATGTTTAACTTGTTGCAGGCAAAAGCATTGCATGAGCATGCATGAGCATTGAGAGATTTGCTAGGATGATACAACTGTATGGGTCTCATGTTGCCCTACTCACATATATATATATATATGTATAGATATATATGTCAAATATATATATATATATGTCTACATATTTTTGCATCCTCCAATCATCCTCGCAAATTTTAAGGACTCCAAATGATCCGATGAGAATTCTGGATAGTGCCACAACTGGACTTCTTTGCGAGCTGCACGAGTTTGCCGGTCTGACAATTATGGCCACATGTTCGAAGGAATCTCACCATTGTTCATAGATTATGTTCCAATAAAAATGACAATTTGGGTCTCCTCTATTTTTTGGAAACGAAATCTTTCTGGTGAAATCTAAACGTTTCACCACATTTCATGGTAAATGATCACCCAAACCCGATGAAATTCCACGGCAGATTCTTCGACTCCCCGTTTTTTTTGTGCCAAGGAAGACCGTATCCTTCCCGAAAGGTGGAAAATCCGGGATGTCCACCGGAAAAACCATTGGGATTTTTCGTGGTAAAAAATGATAGCTAAGTTGGTGAACGAAAAAACACATCTAAGTACAATACTCTCTGGTAAATTAACATAGACCCTGAAAATCACCAATTTGTAGGTCTATGTTAATTTACCGGAGGGTAACTATTGGATGTATGGTGGATGGGCTGGATACAATCCCAAAAAGCGCAACTGGGGTCACAACCTTGTAGACATGTTAATGGAAGCGGCAATGATAGAGCATCCACCGCAGAAACACCAATATGATTTGGATATCCAAGCACCACATGTTTGTTTGGTGGTTTCAATATGGATTTTTCATCCTGGGATGATGATCGTAACTGATACTTATTGTATGGGATGGGTTGAAACCAGTGAGGGACCTTTGCGCCCTTAGTCTTTTCAATGTGGAGATATGTTTTGTCTTCGCTATTTTACATAATTGATTTGCCTGAATGACAACGACCTCACTTCGACGTCACTGGAATGATTGGATTGGGGTGACATCCCAAAATGGCGGAACTTCTTAGCGTAGTGTATGAATCACATGTTTTTTCCGCATTGATGAACACGTATGTACAGTACCTTATATAATAAAATAGGGAAAACACATATATTCAAAACCCTAGAGGGTTGCATGTGGAGCTTGGGGCTCCATGTATATACGTTCCGAAATCATTTAAAGTTGCTGTTTCATTGTGGTGAAGCATTTAGAAATTCATTAAATAAACCCAGATGCCATGTGTGCCACCGTCAGAACATGGTATACGGAGTCTGGCCATTCCGCTCGGAATGGAAATCCTATTGGCATTAGATTATGATTCCCTATTAACCGATTAATGGATTGATGACCATCCCCTAATGTGGGTTTATATTCGACTTTTCATGGTAGTTAGTAGTTAGTAATATATCCCCTTAAATCCCTACTCATAAACACAAATATTACTGTGCCTCCCGAAATACAAACATCTGTCCCCTCTCATGTAAGGGCCGATGAATGGCATGCTCCATGGCGTTGGCGCCTTTTCAGAATCAAGACTTGGGCCCAGAACACTCAGGACTCCAAAACATGGCTCACAGTTTCCAAGTTGAAAAGCCGCACCGCTATTGAGGCGGTAGCGTGCAATTCCAAGACAATCTCTGCATCCTTCACGGAGTTGGACACTTTGCTTAAGGAGTACTTAAGGAGCTTGGGATCGCCGATGAGCATGGCACCATCTTACCCGGCAAGGCGCACCGGTTGGTGCTTGCAGACGAAAAGGGCTTCAGCCAGCGTGCTGACAATGTCACCCGTGGGGTGGTAAGCTTGGAGTTGTAAGCATGCATGCAGTGTTGCTTCTTCGACCAGTTGGGAGCAAATTACTGCCATGTCCTGTCCACTTGGCAAGCTTCCGGGTGCAGCCAGAGATTTTCAACTGCGAGTTGGCATCGTGGCAACCACTATGGATTTCCATATATGGCAGGTATATACCACAAGATACCACCAGAAATATGACCCATTAATAGTCAAATCCCAACGGTGGCGCCAGGGGAGAGCAGCGGGCTCCTGTGCCCTCCTCAGTGCGGGCGTTAGTTTGTGCGCGACATCCTGCACCAGCTCAGATGCCTAGATTCGGATGAAACTTATGAACCACTGTACTTTTTGTGAGATTATCATGATTATCATGGGATAAACTGCCCATCTACTGGTGCAAGATGTTGCAACCATCCACAGTATCATTGACCCATGCATACCCATGCTTTTTCTTCGAGATGTTGACATAATCCCAGGTTGTGGCTGTTGAGTCCACAGAATTTGGGACTGGGTCAAACATTCGCCGTTGTCCCCAAGAATTTGAAATTTTGGCGGTTTACCATCCTAAGAATGGGGATGGGTCAAAATGGTAAGTTGGCAAAAAAGATTCAGCCAAATGGCCCAAACAAGATTCAACTAATTTGGGGATACATGGAGGTATAGGTCTGGATAAATTACAACAACCTCACTACCCCGACACGGCCGAACTTTCAGTTCAGTGAATTGCGGCAATTCAGCCAGATGATTGAACAGCCTATACCATGAAACACCTCCCAGAAACCCTGGTTTAGCGTTGTAATTGTTTTTTTCTTGGTGCCCCTACATGGCGGTATTTCTTATAATCTCCTTTTGTGGTTTCGATTAGTTATATGCTCAATCATCATGGAAATAGGATGATTATCCTCCGGTGTCATCAAACGTCGCAATCGCAAATCGCCATTTCCATTCAGTTCAGGGATTTTCCAGCCAGCCACGTTCGATTACAGTACCAGAGGGGGAAAAAACAATCAATGATAATAGTCATAGTAAAAAAGGGATCATTGATAATATTAGTAACGATCATATACTGAATCATACTGATGAACTTGATTCTTCGATCCTTCATAATGGTAATATTCACCTATTGTTTTCAGATGGGTTGAAGCCAGGGTGCCGGCCCTGCCTTGACCCATCCGAGGTTGCAGCGGTTGCAGCGGTTGCACCGGGCAGCGCGGGGAAGACGAAGACGGAGCCGTGGACTCAGCCGTGATATGGGGATGTTGTTGTGGGATATTGAAGCTTGGCCCATTCGTTTTATGTTGTTGTATAAGCTATAAATGGAAAATGGGTATATATATATAGTTAATTAATATTTTGTATGTGATGTAGAGTCTTGAAATAGTGTAGGGGTGTTTGTTTAGGTTTGTAACTTTTGAGGGACCAGGTTCTGAATGATGTCGGATAATGATCTTAAGTAAGGATTTCAACTGATGTCAATTGGTTTCAGTTTACTTTCACTTGATTTTCCGCTTGAAACCTTCAAGAAATCTGTTGATAAGAAAGGATTTCAATTGGTTTCAATTTACTGAATCCTTCCAACGAACCTAAATCTAAGGATAAGTAATGACTTTGATAGATATCCATCTACTTTCAATTGATTGATTTACCTTTTACGCCTAAAGAATCTAAAGGAAGGATAAGTAAGGACTTCGATACATATTCATATATGTTCAGTTAATTTCCTTTCAAACCTAAATCTAAGGATACGTAACTACTTCGATAGATACATTTCCACTTCTATATATATATATATACATCATCAAATGATTTTTCTTTGAAACCCATGTGGAAATCTATTGATAAGAATGGATTTCTATTCATATTAGTTTACTTTCAATTCATGTTCCTTTATACCCCAAAAAAATCCAATGAACAGTAAGATTGTCAGTTTATGCCAATCTACTTAGAACCCCCTTTGAAATATCATATTAATCACATAGAAACACCATAGAAATTCCATAGACATCCCAGAGAAACACCATAGAAATGCTATAGCAATCCCAGAGAAATCACATAGACATTCCATAGAAACAAAATAACAATCCCATAGAAATATCATAGAAAGCACAAAGAGACACCATAGGAATCCCATAGAAATCCCATTATCAATCCCATGGACATATCATAGGAACCACAAAGACATCCCCATAGGAAACCCATAGGAGTCGCATACAAATCCCATAGAAACACCATGGACATCCCTTGAACATATCATAGAAATCTAACAATGGACCCACAAAGAAATCCCATAGAAATCCTACAGAAATTGCAAAGATATCTCATAGAAATCCCGCAGCAATTCCATAGAAACACCACACCATAGAAATCCTATTGAAACTCCATAGAAATCCCATTGAAATCCAATAGAAATACCGTAGAAACTATATAGAGATCCCATAGGAATTCGGATAGAGATCCCATAGGAATTCCATAGAAATCCCTCAGAAATCCCATAGAAATACCATAGAAGCATCAGGAGAGGAGGCCAGCAGAAGAACTAAGTAGGAAAAACTATGGTAAAGGAAAGGATGCCATGGATTTAGAAAAACAAAAGTCAACCCAAAAAAAAAGTAGGACACAATATCGACCCACCAAAGCAAACCTACTATTACTATTGAATATCCGAATTGCTCATGGGCTACACGCTTGAATAATTGTTTGGGTGTTTGTTTTTCTTCTTTTGTTGGTTTTGATAAGGGATTTTATACTTTTTGGAAATTTGCATTTTGAGGATTCAAGAAGAAAACTTTAAAAGTAAATTACACTAGCTATACCAAAGAAAGGGATAAAGGGATTTGTCGAAAATCACCTAAAAAAAACAATACCGACCCACCAAAGCAAACCTACTTTTGAAGATCTCAGTCGCACATGGGCTACCCCCTTGAAAAATTGTTTCGGTGCTGTTTTTTCGATCAGAAAAGGACGCTGTGCGCCCGTGCGTTTTGCACTGTTTTCCTTGCAGTATTTTGCAGTGTTTTCCTCTTGCAGTGTTTTCACATCATCAAAGGGCCACAATAGGCCACAATATGCCCAAATATGCCAAAATAGGCCACAAAGGTCTAAATAAACAAAAAACAAAAAAGACCAAAAAAAACGAAAAAACCAAAAAAAAACAAAAAAAACAAAGATTTCTAGAGACTGTAGGCATTGGGGGCATGTCTTTGTTTTTTTTTTTTTTGTTTTTTTTTGTTTTTTTTGGTTTTCCGGCCTTCCCTCAGATCAATTTCTTCCTCCGGACTTCGTTGTGTCTGTTTCCACATTTCGGCATGAAGGAACCCTTCGTCAACAATAAAATTAGATTCTTAAGAGGGACCTCTCTGAACTAAAAATCAAAATTATTTTGGTTTTTTGGGTTGTCTGGGGTGGAAACCATGTTTTCTAAATTTCTTAAACAGCAAGGCCTAATTTCCGATTTTCTGGAGGTGGTGGCTCTGTTTGTGTAATTTTCTTCTGAGCAAGGAATACCACCCTCTTTTCAAAGGAATGAACAAATATAATATATTGCATCCTTTTCAAGGAAACTTGCATAAAGGCATGCTGCACTGTGGTCTCTGAAAGAGCAACTGCTTATTGAAGAATACAGTGCCCTTTCAAAATAATGCTATATTTCCTGCAAGGAACACTATACTTCTTCAAATGGCAATTCCATGCATTGCGCTTTATTACAGACACATCACCCTCTTTCAAAGGGATTGTTATATATATATATATATATATGAAAGGGTTCCCTTTTGTACAACAACTTACTGTAAATCACACCATACTCAGCCATACTCTTTCACTAGGACTGCTGTGTGTCTTGAAGGTTACTTCTCAAAGAGATGATACATACTTTTGAAAGGAATATTGTGTGTGTAACTGTATATATATATATAGTTAATAATATCATACAGTGAATTATAATATTTGAAAATTATATTGTATTTTCCAAATGAATAATATTTTTTCGAAGTAATATGACATAACACCGTTGTTTAAATCAAGATTTCATGAAACCATCAAGTACTGTCTGAAAGGAATGCCGCTTTTCTGAAAAACACTAATGTATATGCATATTTTATCATAAGGAAATGCTACCCTTCTCTAAAAGGACTACTACCTCTATGGAAGGAATTACATATATGTTCATTAAAATATATGGAAGACAGAACGCACTTGTTCTAAATGAATGCTATGCACATCTGAGGGTCTTGCTTTACACTTTCTCAAAGGAATGCTGCTCCCTCTATAGAAGAATGTTGCATAGAGGCATGCCACAACTTCCTCAAGAAATGCCACATTCTTTCAAATTTTCAACGATGACTTATGAGAAGCATGCTTTGGCCCTTAGAATCTGAGTTGATGTTGTACTAGGGTTTAATAACACATTTTTTTTCAAAGGAACAATATGCTTACCCTTGCAAAACATTCCATATCTCTTTATGTAGGGAGCTCTGTCAGGAAGATGCAGTACTGCTTGGGGACAAAACGAAATCTTCTGTCAATCAAAAGTGCTGTTTCCTCTTGTTCATGCTTGCTATAAAAACCTGCAACATAGAAGCAAACACAACCCTATCATTTGAGCATGGCGCAACAGGGCAAAATTGAATTTTCTCTCTGATATTCACTGGCTAAATGACATAGAACCGTTGATACCATTATTTAGTTTCTCGCTGTGTATGTGCAATATGTTTTGTTTCTTGTGACCCAGCTGGATGAAATTTTTGAGGTATGCATATATATATCATATAGATGAGATCTTGCAGCAACATCGCTGGTATATATATATATATGATATCTTGATGCAACATCAGTGAAAAAAACGCACTCTCACAGTCCCCCGCTCTCAAAAAAATAAGTACTGTAGATCCAAGACTAAACCAGGGTTTCGTTTGGGGATTTGGGGATTGGATGATGTTTGGTGGGAATTGGCTTTGAGAATTCCCCACAGCTGGCTGGAAAATTGGAGATTGGGAGTAGGTCCAAACCCATTATCCCAGCCAAGACCATTCTGCTCATTCTTGGGATGTGTGATGCCAGAGTTTTTTTTTTGGGTGTTGACCACAACCAAATGTGAAAACCACATGATGGCCACCTTGGTTGGATGATCTTCAGCCGGAGTGTGATGAATATGTGACAAGTCATGCGATACAACCTGCAGCAATAAGAACATGTCTTAAAACTCATTATATAGGGACTTTGTCAAAAATAGTGATTTATATGGAAATTACACGGGCGTGGGGCGTCCCCCTCTCTTTTCGATTGGGTTTTAATAGAGATGTTGATATTTTGGTGGAATTGGATAACAAATCATTTGGATTCTTGTCTCGAACCAAAAAAATCAACCTTCCTGAAAAGAAATGAAAAAGAAACAACTTCCTGACACAATACCGACCCACCCCTTTGAATTCACAGAGTTAGAATTATGATGAATTATGTTCAAAAAACATCAAAAAACTTGACTCAATACCGACAACCGCATAATTCAAGACTACATTAATCTATGTTTGATATGTGGAACCTTAGACAGGAGAACGCATCAAGGATCCTTCAATAAACAATTTATCAATCATTAGCTACCTTGAAAGCAAGACAAAGAATCCTGGTATAGATTCAATCAATGGAAAGCAAACAAACACTGCTACAAATTCCCTAGTTTACATTTAACATCATTTAACATACAAATGGATATCCCTGGGTATCCCAGGTTTGATTGATGGAAAGTCTGAAAAACCCACGCAGACTCCGATTCAGACCTTGGCAGCAAAAGATTTTGAGCACGATGAGTTGTTTGAATCTCTGCAAAGATGGCAGGTTCTGGTTCTGGCTGTGGTTCTGGCTGTACTTGCTTCTGTTGATGTTGAGGTTGTCGTTGTCGTCGTCGTCGTCGTCGTTGTTGTCACTTTTTTTTTGGTTTGTTGTTATTGTTCTTGTTGTTATGGTTGTTGTTGTTTTTTAATACAGATGATGATGTTGCGTTTTATTCATTCCCCTGTTCAAACAAGTGCAACCGACCCGTGTCCAGTTTCGAAAGTCTTGAGGGGCCAAGCAACCTATCAACCCAGTGCCATGTCTACTAATAGTAACTGTTCAATTATCGAACAGATGGCGGTTCCCGGTTGCATGCATTTTTTCCTACCTGAATCAGACATCACATTCCGGTCATGGCTGGAACATCCACCCCATGAGATAAAAAAAAAACTTAGCCATAAAGTAAAGCCTCCATTTAGTGCGCTCGAGGTCGCCAAGGGATGCAGGCCTTGACATTGAACACGTGCGGGACAGCATGCAGGTACCAAGGGGAGCGGGCCAGGCCCGCCTTGGCCCTTGGTTTTTTGTCGTGTCTCAGTAATTCATGGTTTCGATATGTTCTGTTTTTATTGCAATTGTCATGGTTTTTGTTTTAGAAATTAGTGTAATTGTCGGAATCTACTGATTTTTCGGACAAAGCCAGATCGATTGTCACATGTCGACATTGAACTACTGGAGCAGGTTTTCTGGCTTATTCCAGAGCACACTGCCCACTAATTAAACTTGGAAACCCCGAAAATGGTGTCTGAGAGTCTGAACGATGATAGTTTATGAGACATGGCCATATATTGGGTTCTTTTAGTTTGATTTCAATTTGAGGTAATGTTCTTCAGATGCTGTTGAGAAGGATTTCAAAAACGCAATTCAAGCAGGAGCCGTAGACGTTGGTTCATCAGCAGATCCTCCTGATCAAGAGATCATACTGAGACATCTAGCAGCTAGCACGGAAAGAATTAGTTGAAGCGTGTTTTATTTTTGAGAAGATATCGATGGGAAATAAGGACGTATGTGAGGGAAAAGATAGTGGGAAGGAGATCTTGGTGAGAATATCCATTTCAGCAGATTTGGCACAGAATCTGTTGACAAAGTTCTTGGTGAAAATCTTGTGTTGAGAGAATCCGTGACAAGGATTGGGTCCAGGCCGAATGAAGGAGAACGCAAATAGACAACTAAACGAAGGTAGTGTGTAGTCCCTTCTTCTCAATATCAAACACCCAAGAGAAACCGTGGTTTAGTGGTGGGCGGAATCACATATTTGAAACCATTGAATTGGGGTGTTCAATTTTATAGGGAATGCAAATAATACGAGTAGTAACATGTAGTAACTATCTTTCTCAGGAGTCGCTCATGAGAGGGGATCTGAACACCAACGAACCTGAGATAGTAAAAGACCTGGTTCCTTGACCCCAAAGCCTTCCAAACCAGTATCTATTTAGTACAAAGAGGTTTCCTAAAATGGGGGGGTACCATCCACTTTAATAGAATTTTCCATTATAAGCCATCCATTTTGGGGTACCCCCATTTTAGGAAACCTATACACATGTGTTGTTGGTTTATATAAGTACCTTCTCAAATTGAGCTTGCCGCGTTTCCAGGTCAATTTCGCGTGTTTTGCCGTGTGATTTCCGCGGTGTGTGTGTGTGTAGTCATTTCTTTAAATTTCGATGCTTATCAGATTTTCTCTGAAAGCATCAAGCTATTCCTTGCTAAAACTCCCATCCTGTTGAAATTACTATACCTTTTCTATCCTTTTCTAGTGAAATTACTTTTGTGTCAGTGAAAATACTTAATTACGTTTCTTCTTGATGGCGTGTCCATGTTCTTTCTACAACGTGGCCCCCCCCACTTAAATCTGATTTATAAATACCATTCACATCCATTCACTATATTTAGTTCTAGTTATATCTACCATAAACGGATCCAAAAACATATTCAACCTAGGCAAATGTTCACCAACTTAGCGAAAACGATAGCCCTACATTCTGGGTGAAGGTGCTCCTGCACAATGGAGCGAGATCTCCCTCGGCCACGGCACAACGAAGGTGCGGCATCCCAGGCATCGTGGCCACGTGGGTAATAACCATAGTATAACCAATGCCATAGCGAATCATTGGACAATGGTGTCCAATTTCCTATGCAATACTCATTCCACCCTGACTCCACCCTAGCAGGTCATTCAAGTCCCCAGTTTCCAGATAATATGACTATATTTAAGCAATTTTTAAGCAATTTTCCCACGTCAAGCTTCAGGTAGCCACCCGGATCTCGCCCTGACCTGCCAGGCCCTCACTTGAACGGCAGGGTAGCGACGTGGACGAGGTCTGCTGGGATTTTTCTTGCGCTGTTCTGCTGGAAATCCTTGATCCGATGAAGATATTTTTTGTTTTTTTTTGAGGGAAATCCACTACTTGAGGAATCTGTAGGGAATATGTTTGATATATTTTGATATTGTTTTACTTTTTGGGGGTTCCTGATGCAAATCCAAGATAGTCAGGCAGAATAACGAAGGCAAAATTGGGTTCCAGCCATTCCTTATCCTTGTGATGGAGGTTCCAGGATGGGTTTGTGTCAAGTTTCAAGAGCCACAAACCAGACAACTGCATCAATTGCTGGTTGGCGGTTTCAACCATGTGTTATTCCATATCTGGGATGATGATCCCCAATGGCCCCAATGACTAGCATGTTTTTTTCAGATAGGTTAAAGACCGCCAAAACAGATGATGACTGTTCATCCAGGTCATTCCACACGCGGAATCAACAGCTCCAAGCGTGCCAGCAGCGGTTGCCAAGCAGCTTGGAGATGGCACACCAGTGCGATGGGTTGGAAGCTGGGTATCTTTGTGGAACATTCCCATCATAGTAGGCCTGTACCCATCAGATCCTCTGGGTTTTACCACGATGTGATGAGACTCACCACACAATATCATTAGTTTTGTGGCTGACATAGGTGCATGTAAAGGCTCCGGGGATCTTCCTCAACTGTAAACTTGTGGTGCCCCAGTGATGTTTGTTTGTACACCTAATTACCGAATAGAAATATGATATAATGATATATAGTGATGATACATACATATATATATATATATATATGTTTATTTCGATATATATATATATACATATATATATATGTTTATTTCGATATATATATATACATATATATATATACATATATACATATATATTTACATATATATATATATTTACATATATATACATATATATATACATATATATATATATATATTTACATATACATATATATATACCAACCATAAATCGTGGTTAGCCTAGCAATTTTGATGGGGCACGATCGGCTGCCGTTTCGGTGATGTTTGAAGCGTGGATGGGATTCCCTGGTGATTTGGGTAGCTTGGAACCCTGGGATTTCCTTGTGGAGCAAACACACCGGCTTTCAGGAGCCTTTGGGATACACCCCATGTTCAAACACAAATGTAAGGTCACCTAATAATGTCACATATATCATATATTATATTATATATACAATATATGATAGGTATATGTGAAGTCAAGGCCGTTCAATCATTCATCTTTGGATTTTAATCGGGAGAAGCGCAAGATGAGCGGTTTTGTCTTCATTTTGGAGTTGAGTTCAGCCAGTGACCCCTGCAACTGGATACAGGGGATGCAGCCAACTTATTGGCTGCAAGGATTTCTCTAGACATGAAGCTTTTCTGAACATGTCAAATGTTTTTCTTTAGTCAGAACTATAATAGTATAGCCTATAGCCGTTTGGGATAAGCAGCACAGGCGTCATCAGAAACACAGTTTTTTTGTTTTTTTTGTGGGGGGGACCTCACGTAACAAGTTTGGGTTTTCGGAGCGGCACAAATCCAGCCTGCTTCCAAGGACAGGTGATGGCTCTCAGGTGTGGCCCCAAGGGATTGATTCCGATATATTCGCAACATGTTGCAACCGAATGTTTGACCAGAGATGTGTATAATTCTATGGGTTGTATAATATGTATTTCGCAACATTTTGCAACCATACAGTACCATATTCGCAACATTTTGCAACCATACAGTACCATACATGTTTGATATAATATATTTGATTATAAGTGTATGGTTCATGTATGGCACCACACATATGGAAAAGCATATTCGTATGCATATGTGTTTCCTTTCTTTCGGGCTCGAGCCATGGTAGGTAAATTGCCCAGTTCTTGTGGTGGAAGTCAAGAATCCAGTGGGGATTCATATAGGGTTTGGGGTTGAATGAAAACGTTGGGAAAAACCGGAAAAATGCAAAATCCAAGGGTTTATGGTTTATTGTCATAGTTCCCATCAAAGTTGCTATTTGATAGGTACGCCCCACCCCCAGATATATGAACAATTATGTGTTGGGAGTTCATACCACATTTATTCCATGTGACCTGGCCATGGCACATATATGGCTCCGGCATTCCGTTGTGACAATGCACGTCATTTACTGAGAAACCACTGACCTAGATGTAGCAATCACTTGTTTGAGTTCAAGTGGAATAGAGACTTTAATGGGATGATAATGTTGATATCGGATGGAGACCATAATATTGTTGACGTTTCAATATCATCCAATTTGTTGTCTTTTCACCGAGAGAGCATTGCACCAGTGTATCAAGCTGGAATGACCCAAGCTGCGCGTAGCAATTTCATATGCTGATGATTGATGTCCATCGAACATCCTCCAATATTTGCCAGTTCAATGTTCTGTTTGCCCTGCAACACACCGGAAATGACGAGGGTAAATCTGACAGCAGACATCAAGAATCAAGGGGGGAAGGAAGGTAAATCAAGCACTGACCTATTCCTAGAAAAAGATAGTTCATTCCTCTCATTAATCCATTAGTAGGGATTTACAATACTAACCATTCTGAGGACTCCCAATAGGCGACGGATGCCCATTTTTTGACCATGCATCCCATGTAACTCGAGCCACATGTGGATTTCAATGAATAAGCCGAAGTACCTCACATCGTCTCATGGATTATCTCATTATATAATGTTAAATCAATACATCATTCAACACCTACATTTTTGGAGGATATATAAAATGGAGGATATATAATACGTATCCTCATAGACATGCATGATATTGAATGGTTAGAAATGACCCCCAAGTTGCAAAGGTTGGGCAAGTGACGGTCTACCTATAGTTTCTGACAATCACCGTGAACCCAAGTTGTCCTAATGACCTAAACCAACTTATAGCGATTCCAACCTGGGGCACCTCGAATCGAGGCGATCGTACCTGACCTCACCTTCAGTATGATCAAGTCCCAAGGGGGTCTGAAAGGTCACTGGTACTGTTAGCATCGTAAGTGGCTAACAAGTACATGATAGATCATGATAGTTTTTGTATGCTGAATTAGTGAATGAGTTTCTGAATTCGTCCATATATATATACATATGTCTATATTATATACAATAACCACGTGAAGTATAATATACTAATAAGAAACTAACTATAAATATTGATAAATATACCATAGTATACCCTATAGTGAACCTTATTACCCATGGCTCAGGAATCACCACAGGCGTTGCAACTGGCTCCACGACACTCCAGCGAGATCAGGCGGGGCCCGTTTGGGGCCCGGCGCCGGAGGTGGGAGTTAGCTTGGCTGCCATAAAGCTACCATTGCTGGGGATGGTTTATACAGTATATACATGTCCACTCATAAAAATGGTGATAAATTGGGATGGAGTCTAGATTTTCACGGCAGAATTTGATTCTGAGCCCCTTACACACAGCAGTGTTGATCTTTGCGGATTCGTGTGTAGTCTTGAGCTTAAGCCAGAAACATGCCAGAGAAATCACAGATATCAAACAGCCCAATCAATAATTTTGCGAAAGTCTTCCCAGCCCTAGACTTGACACAACTGGGAGGAATACTGATGAACCCTGAGGTGAGTAATGAAAAACTGCTCGGTGAGGCTACAATCCCATCCTCTGTGAAACACAACCCAGAATGGTCCCCTACTGAACCATGGTTTATGGGTGATTTAATTAAACAGTTGGTGAATGGGCTACATTATCCAAAGCTCATCTCAGTTGTGCGGTGTATACATAATATAGTTATATTATATTACATATGTGCAATCAACAGAGTGGACAGGTCAAGGACTTGACTTTTTTTTACGGTGAAACCACAACTTTGTTTCATTTGATTGGTAGGTCAAATATATGTATATATACATACATACATACATCCATACATCCATACATGCATACATGCATACATGCATACATGCATACATGCATACATGCATACATGCATACATGCATACATGCATACATGCATACATCCATACATCCATACATCCATACATCCATACATCCATACATCCATACATCCATACATCCATACATCCATACATCCATCCATCCATCCATCCATCCATCCATACATACATACATACATACATACATACACTATATTTGACATGGCCATACATTCCCATTTGTGATGGGTAGATCACCATCATCTATTGATAACTTCCGACAAAAAACATGATCAACTCCCCATGATGCTGATGAATGATGCCATGGTAGCACCAATGTCGGATATCAACAGTACGCGCAAACCCCCCAGTTCCCCCACACAATTTCTTAGGGATTTTCAAGGAATATAAATTCAGACCCCCGTTACACTTTACATTCAATTGGGAAGATCAAGAAGGGTATTAGAAATATACATTCCCACCCCCGTTAAACTTTACGTTCAATTGGGAAGATCAACAATGGCATTAGGAATGTAAATTCCCACCCCCGTTGAACTTTACATTCAATTGGGAAGATCAAGAAGGGTATTAGAAATATAAATTCCCACCCCCGTTAAACTTTACGTTCAATTGGGAAGATCAACAATGGCATTAGGAATGTAAATTCCCACCCCCGTTGAACTTTACATTCAATTGGGAAGATCAAGAAGGGTATTAGAAATATAAATTCCCACCCCCGTTAAACTTTACGTTCAATTGGGAAGATCAACAATGGCATTAGGAATGTAAATTCCCACCCCCGTTGAACTTTACATTCAATTGGGAAGCGCGTTAAACTTTACCAATTGGGAAGGGTATTAGGAATGTAAATTCCCACCCCCGTTAAACTTTACATTCCACCCCCGTTAAACTTTACATTCAATTGGGAAGCGCAACAAAAGTATTAGGAATGTAAATTCCCACCCCCGTTAAACTTTACATTCAATTGGGAAGATCAAGAAGGGTATTAGAAATATAAATTCCCACCCCCGTTAAACTTTACGTTCAATTGGGAAGATCAACAATGGGATAAGGAATGTAATTTCCCACCCCCGTTGAACTTTACATTCAATTGGGAAGATCAACAAGGGGATTAGGAATACAATGATGAAGATGAAAATGATGATGATGATGATGATGATGATGCTGATGATGATGATGATGATGATCATGGTTATGCTGATGATGATGATGGTGATGATGATGATGATGATGTTGATGATGTTGATGATGATGATGTTGTTGTTTTGTAACATTCAACGCACAGGTAGCTAAGCTGTGCGTTGCAAGATGAAAGCCATGATCATGGACATGTGCATTTTGTCCCACAAAACACAGTGTTTTTTGATGTTCGGACATGTCGTCGGCGTCGGCGCTGGCAAACTGAGGGGTTTGCCCGCAGCAGTACAATGGTAGATCACCAACTCCTTATGTATATATGATCCCGTCTTCCGCCCGCGAGGTCCCCCCCCGCCCCCCCCCGAATGGGATGGGTCCCCAGGTAGCACCCCCACTTCCCTTCTATTTGCAAGCTATTGGCAGCATTTCTGAGGTCCAGCCTCGTATTTGCTAGGTTTTTGCAGCGATTCTGACTACCAGCCTCCCATTTACTAGGTACATGCTACCCTTTAGACGACCTGCGTAGCACACATACTCCCTCCAAGTACCTACGTGCTATCTATAGTTATATATACATGTGCTATGTATCTACTTCCTATGTATATATATATATGTATATATATATATATACACATGTTATAGATACATACATATGTATATATATATACATATATATTCATATTCGTATTTAAATATACATATATATATATATACATGTCTATACATATATATATATACACATATATGTATATATACACATATATACATATGTACACATATAAATAGATATATATATATATACATAAGCATATATATATATATATATATATATACGCAGTACCACACCCCCACCACACCACAGGGTGGGCGGGGAACATATCTCCTGTATATCCATACCCATCCCCACTACTAACTACTACTAACTACTACTAACTACTACTAACTACTACTAACTACTACTAACTACTACTAACTACTACTAACCCGCCGCACCCCCCTACCCACCCACAGGGGGGGCGGAAACATAGCTCCTGTATATCCATACCCATTCCTACTACTAACTGCTACTCACTACTACTAACTTTACTAACCCCCCCACCCCCTACCCACCCACGGGGGGGGCGGGGAACATAGCTCCTGTATACCCATACCCATTGGGGGGGAGGGGGGGACCTGGGAGGCTTCATCATATATATATATATATATATACACACATATATATATATACATATACATATGATATATATATATATTTATGTATATATATATATATCTCTCTCTCTCTCTCTGTCTGCCGGGGGTTGAGACTTAGATTTTCCCAGCGGCTTCGTGGGGCAGACGGTGCAAAACCTACTGATCTTTTGGGCGTAAACGTGCCGAATGTTGCATCCTACATCACCCAGTGGCGACTGACTCCCGATCTGCCTAAGAAGGCTGTAACATTGGAGTCGATAGCCAGGGGATTTTAGAACCACTCACCGGAAAGAATACCCACCGGCAGTTTGTGCTGCATTCGCACAGGCTACTGTGGCGGCTGTAACAAGCCAGCCAGTGGCAAATTTTGACACCGCTGCAAATTTCCTTGCTCGGAATGCAGCCATGACGGTGAAGGATTTTGGTGAGTATGTCGGCCCAGACTACGCCGGCTGACGGCCACAACGGCCACAACTCACTGCTAGGCCGCAGCGACGTGCAGCAATGAGCGCGAGGAAAAACAAATATATATATATATATCTGTTTCATCACCAATCATTGCTTGATCACATTTAGTCTGTACATAGTCAAAACAAGCATTGTTTGTGTCCCATCTTGGAGGATGTTCATCAACCATGCATCCCATGTAACTTGACCATGGCACATACAATGTGGGGCCCCGTTTTCAATAGCTCGGTTGGTGAACATGACTCCCGTTTCACTTTTGTTTTTGGCCCCCAAATAACTATAGTATTTGAACATAACTTCAGTATTCATAGGGTTACACACCAACTTCTATAGAACAATAGCACCAAATAACTATAGTATTCATGTTTTTTCATCAACCGACAAATATGTGACCTGGGATTGAAAACTAAGGAAATCTAAGAAACATAACTGGCTGGCCCCACATAACTCCCATGGTTGCCAGGTTGCCACCCGGAGCTGTGACCAGCAGAACGGCTGGGCGGCCGAGTGGTTTGACAATATTGGGTTTACTAGGGTTGAATAGGAGTTAATAGGGTTTAATCATGTTGAATAGGGTTCAATATTGTGTAGTGTGTGTTCATATGGTATCATACAGTTTAATATGGTTTAATATGTGTTCATATGGTTTAAGTGTGTTCACATGGTTAAATATGGTTTGATATGTTGTAACTATGTATTTTAGATGTTGAAATTGGGAGGGGCAAAACGAGCGGAATCCGAAAGTACATGGTTAAATCTGGCGTATCAATATGGTAACCATATTAGGAAATATGTGGGTCCATTGGCACCCATACTTTTTGGTCCCTAAGTCCTCAGCCCGAGGTGTTTCCGTTTTGTGTGGTGATCAAAGATGTGATTGGGCCACTCCCAAGTTTCCGGACGTCATGCTTCACAAGGTGATCGTCATCTCCATGGCGTCCAAAATTGTTTATGATTTCACCACTATCCTCAAAAGGTTGAGTTGTGTCCAAATTTCATGGATATGTTGATTGAGACATAGCCCAAGTTGTGGCCAGAAATAGGCGATGTTTCCCATCCGATAAACTGAGGAGGCACAGCACGCCAAACCTGCCAAACCGCTGGAGGCTGGTGGCTGTTTTTGTTGGGTTTGTGATGTACTTGGGGGTGCATCCCACTTAGTAATAAATTGATAAATTGGTTTTACTCACCAACTATATATGGAATATTCCCATATATAAATATACATATATATATATATACCTATATATATATATAGCTTACATTTGGCTAACGTGGATGGATGCACATTCAAGTACTGTATCACCAACAAACTACAATCACGTACGATCAGCAAACTGCAACTTTGGGGACGTATCAGTACCAACAAACTGCAGTTTTTGGGGTGTACCACCCGCAAATCGATGCCACGGGGGGCATTAACCCAAAAAGCACAGCATCTCAAATCTCCGTTTTTGGTTGCTGAACCCTTCGTCGGAGAATTCTCTCCATGTCATTCTTCTTCATGAAATTTGACCATATGAATGCATATGATTCTTGGTGAAATCACCATATTTATGTGTTTCTCATTTTCTTTAGTGAATCAACATATTGTCATATTGTTTCGCTATCTGATGTGTTGCTTGGTTCCATGTTCCATCGCAAGGTGGGGATGACCCCCTCAACATCTTCGGCATCATTGGCGCAGACAGCCCCTTGGCAGTTCTGGAGCGCCCCTTTTGGTCTGCAGAGTCTGCAGGTGAGTGACTGTGTTAATGGTTAATGGATGGTTAATGGATGGTTAATGGTGGTTAATGGATGGTTAATGGATGGTTAATGGATGGTTAATGGTGGTTAATGGATGGTTAATGGATGGTTAATGGTGGTTAATGGTGGTTAATGGTGGTTAATGTTGATCATTTGCTATGATGATGTATAAAAATGATATGTGTCTGAAAGATGGTTGCTGTATTTTGATCTAATTTGATCTAATTTGATCTAATTTGTGTGTCATGTTTAGTTGACCCGGCTCTATCCAATCCGAAGATCGAGGATTTTTTTTGCCCAGTATGGGGATGGCTCTATCCAAAATTCACACAGCCAAAGTTTGGTATGCTTCTAGAAGAGTGATTTGGTTAAGGTCATGAACATCAAACATACTGTACATCTATATGTTTCATACTTCAGACTTTACATCTGGAGTGTTAAGTTTGGTTTCTAGACTAGGCTAACTACGGTTGATGTATGTTGATGGTTTCCATGTACCAAACTAGTTCCAACTCGGGATGCACCCCAAATCTCAAACACCGGCCTAGCCCCCCTGGCCACGACGCCATCTACTTGTATCCTCATTGAATTATATGACTTGCAGATTACTTATAGCTAGATAAACCCAGTGAATTATAATTCTTACATATTACTTATAGCTAGATACGCCCAGTGAATTGTATTTCTTACAGATTACTTATAGCTAGATAAACCCAGTGAATTATACGACTTACAGATTACTTATAGCTAGAAACACCCAGTGAATTATATTACTTTCAGATTACTTATAGCTAGATACGCCCAGTGAATTGTATTTCTTACAGATTACTTATAGCTAGATAAACCCAGTGAATTATATGACTTACAGATTACTTATAGCTAGAAACACCCAGTGAATTATATTACTTTCAGATTACTTATAGCCCAGTGAATTATATGACTTACAGATTACTTATAGCTAGATACATCTAGATACACCCAGTGAATTATATGACTTACAGATTACTTATAGCTAGATACACCCAGTGAATTATATGTCTTACAGATTACTTATAGCTAGATAAACCCAGTGAATTATATGACTTACAGATTAATTATAGCTGGATATCCCCAGTGAATTATATTACTTACAGATTACTTTTAGCTAGATAAATCCAGTGAATTATATGACTTACAGATTACTTATAGCTAGATAAACCCAGTGAATTATATGACTTACAGATTACTTATAGCTAGATAAACCCGGTGAATTATATGACTTACAGATTACTTATAGCTGATAAACCCAGTGAATTATATAACTTACAGATTACTTATAGCTCCATCAACCCAGTGAATTATATGACTTACAAATTACTTATAGCTGATAAACCCGGTGAATTATATGACTTAGAGATTAATTATAGCTAGATAAACCCAGTGAATTATATGACTTACAGATTACTTATAGCTAGAAACACCCAGTGAATTATATGACTTACAGATTACTTATAGCTAGATACGCCCAGTGAATTGTATTTCTTACAGATTACTTATAGCTAGATAAACCCAGTGAATTATATGACTTACAGATTACTTATAGCTAGATAAACCCAGTGAAATATATGCATTACAGATTACTGATAGCTGATAATCCCAGTGAATTATTTCTTACAGATTATATACTTATTATAGCTAAATAAACCCTGTGAATTATATGACTTACAGATTACTTATAGCTAGATACATCTAGATACACCCAGTGAATTATATGACTTACAGATTACAGTACTTATAGCTAGATACACCCAGTGAATTATATGTCTTAAAGATTACTTATAGCTAGATACACCCAGTGAATTATATGACCTATAGTTTTTTAACCGTTCACAAGAAAAAACACCTTGCGATGCCTGGCACATTGATGCGCCAGATTTTTGCCCAGGCCTTGCCGAGTCAACAACTCTTTGAGGCCAGGGAGCCGAGGTTTCCTTATAAACTTATTAAGAAACAACGGGCTATGCGTCAAAAAAATCCTGTAAACTATTAAAAACCCATGGCAAATAGCATAAGGATGATACACCTATTTCTCTAACAAAATGGTCTATGACCAATGCTGGATCCTTTAGGATTGGTAGTTCTGGCTGAACGGCGCTTGGGGAAATTATGGGAAATTGCATCTAATTGCCCTTCAGGTCAAAGATGGATGCAGACAAGACATGTTTGTTCATGTTTGTTCAAGACGCACGAGCTGACTCAGCTAAAAAAATAATCGTTACTTCGCCGAACTTGAAAAAACCATGTGGGTTTCATTGTGTTTCATGTGAAAGTAGGGCATTTATATTTCATAGTTGGATCCTATGAGGACAGGTCAGACTCCTCTGGCTTTGAGGTGAGGCCGCAGGTAAAATGGATTTTGGTGGTGCGACTCAAAGGTACCCAATGGACCACTCGTTTTGAGTTGTTTTCCAATGTGTTCTCACTTTCGTAGATGTATTTTTCCCCACCTGCCAGGTGAGGGTTGTTAGATTTTATGTCAGTTGCCTGGTCCTCCTCCTCCTCCTCTCCTCTCCTCCTCCTCTCGTTGTCCTCCTCCTCTCGTTGTCCTCCTCGTCCTCCTGCTCAACTGCGACTCGCGATCCACAGTGTTCTCTGTCGGACCTCAACCACGACCATCCACGCCCAGTGTTCCCTGCCGGACCTCAACCCGACCATCCACGCCCAGTGTTCCCTGCCGGACCTCAACCACGACCATCCACGCCCAGTGTTCCCTGCCGGACCTCAACCACGACATCCACGCCCAGTGTTCCCTGCCGGACCTCAACCACGACCATCCACGCCCAGTGTTCCCTGCCGGACCTCAACCACGACCATCCACGCCCAGTGTTCCCTGCCGGACCTCAACCGCGAGTATCCACGCCAAAAGATATGCCACATAGAGTGCCAGAAGATATGCCAGATAGAATGTTAGAAGATATGCCAGATAGAATGCCAGAAGGTATGCCAGATAGAATGCCAGATAGAATGTCAGCTAGAATGCCAGAAGATATGCCAGATAAAGTGCCAGAATGTTTGCCAGATAGAATGCCAGCAGATTTGCCAGATAATATGCCAGAAGATATGCTAGATAGAATGCCAGATGGAATGCCAGAAGATTTGCCAGATAATATGCCAGAAGATATGCCAGATAGAATGCCAGATGGAATGCCAGAAGATATGCCAGAACATATGCCAGAAGATATGCCAGAAGATATGCCAGAACATCTGCCAGAAGATATGCCAGAACATCTGCCAGAAGATATGCCAGGTAGAATGCCAGAAGATATGCCAGATAGAATGCCAGATCGAATGCCAGAAAATATGTCAGATAGAATGCCAGAAGATTTGCCAGTAACAAAATGTATAAATGTCATGGTGGGGATCACACGAAGTAAAGTAATTTGATGTATTTTTATATGTTGGGGCTCTTGGCTTACTCAGATTAACAGAGACTCCCATCTACATCAGTCGTACCTACTTTGTGAGTGGTTTGAACTGTTCATTCCTATTTTTGAGGATGATTATTTACATGATATGTATTCAAATTATGATTATGTATGGGATTGTACGTGTCTTTATCTATGTATCATAAATATATACACACGGATATTGCAGGTAAGTGATATGTCTCCTATATATATACACACACATATGTCTCCTATGATATATATTTATGACTATGTATCGCGGTAAGTGATTGGCAACTTGCAGGTTGCTTGCATCTATTGCTTATTGCATATGTCTTCTTATTCTTCAACTAAATCGGTATGTTTAACTATAGTCGACATCCACGTTGCATGGATCAAACAATATATAAAATAACTATATATATATACACAGTAAAACAGGACAATCCAGTTATGCAGTCTACATGAGTAACCGACAAAATGTTTGTATAGTATTAATTTATATTAGTATAGTCTTGCTCCGCCTTGGCCTTTCCGTTGCACAAAACCTTCATAACCGATAGGGGACGATCCAAATTTGTCCGCTACTCATATCCATTAACTGGAAGGTAGATGGAACCCCGGATACCTACAAATATCTCTTCGGATGAACATCCGTAACTACCAGGTATTCAAGATATACCATCCCATACAAGATATGGTATATATAGTTATATATAGACGCAGATACATAGATGGTATACCATACAGGCCAGAAGAAACATCTCCACGATGGTCAGCTAAGTTGGTTTAGAACTAGGTCAACTATATACCCTTTATTGTAGATGTATGGAACCAGTTCATGGCACGTTTTAAACCATCAAATATAACTGGGAAGCACAACCATTAATACAGTTAAGTCCAAAGCTTACATGTAGTTAAAGCTCCATAAACCATTACTATCCCACTATATATATATGCATATTATGGTTAAATAAACAAATGATATAGGTATCGATTTTAGCAAAGATGAATCAACATGTTAAATCCCCATGGTTCTTGCTTCCCTTCCCGTTTTTGCTAGTTAAATCGCCGTTTCAAACTGGGGGAGCAGCACATTGCATTTGGTACCTTATTAACCATAATCAAGTATGTATGTATGTATGTATGTATATATATATATATACATAACTGTGGATATTCCATATGTTATATCCGTGTATCCCATTTACTATGTGGGATTTCTCCCCTCAGCCGCTGTTTCTGGCTCTCCGCCCTCAGTCGTACAGCAGCTCGTCGGTGCAGGCGCGTTTCCGAAAGTTTTTCGGGCTCATCCAGACAAACTGACATAGCTATGGAAGCCATGGCTCATTTGTTGTTGATTTACCTTGCAAAAATGGTGATTTACTGTCATGGATTATCTATAATGTGGCAAAGTGGTACACCAAATCATCCCTAAATTGTAGGTTTATTATTGGATTTCCCACAGTAGTAATCTCGGAAAATAACCATTATTATCCCACATATTGGGACAATGCCATCTCATTGTTAAAGATATGACATAGTATGGTAAAATCGTATACTAAACAGCTACAATGTGAGTTTTACTAACCCAACAATTGTGGACAAAAAGGTATGGGGATGAGTATCGGAAACCCTAGTTAATTCGTTGATTACTTATATACATATATATATATATGCATATATTGGGCATCCAACCATCATGTCATCATGTATGCCGTATGCAGTGTTTAACCGCACCCTCCAGAACATGGTTCTGATTCCAGGTCACCATAGGTCATCATTTGGGTTTGACTCCTGGGGGGAGCTGGAAAAATTGGACTTATGCGATGGGGATGCGTTTACTCATGTGAATCATCCAGAGCATCCAATGTGATCCATATCCAACCCAATGTTTCGTTAATACTCGTAGATATGGATATAAAACTCTGATATAAAGAACAACATGTTGATAGAGCTAGATCTATTATATCGATATATAAACTGCATGCATCATAATATATACTCGTGTAAATCTGATGACATGATCTGCACATAGATGGAACATGTACATTTCAAAAGAAGTGGAGAAGAATCAAAACCAACACACTAGATGCTGAAGTTTAAGGATCGATGCTATCTACTCATCTACTCCAAGATTGTATATTCCTGTTTTATTACCTCTTGCTGCGACCCCGGATTGGTGACACAGAACGCAGCCGGACGGATGTTCATGCCAACAGCTTTGGGTTGAAATACGATTTAGCTGAAAAAATATTTGTATCTATCTATATATATTTAGCTATCCATCCATCCATCCATCCATCCATCCATCCATCCGTGTATGTGTGGAAACCTATGTCATCCAGCTAAACTCCCTTTGAGGCCTCGCAACTCTCCACGGCTGGGGCATCCAGGGATCGGTTGTGACAAGGGTCGATGAACAGATAGATATGGGTCAAAACCCATGGGACCATTGGGGGATTACCATGCCTTTACGTTGCCAGCTATTTTGATGTTTAGCGATGCACTTGGCCCTTTGGCCCACAACCAGATCAACCAAACTTGGGCTGCCATGTTTTAAAGACAAACTCATATTCACCTGAAAAAAACATCAAACAACAGGCGTTTCCATTTGTTTTCATCAGGAATTCAAGTGTGTAGCGAATCGATCAGCAATCAGGAATACAATGGATAAGTATCTAGTTCATCCGTGGTCTACAATAACTGACAGTTTTCCCACATAGCATGATGAAAATTAAATCATATAGAATATCGAATCAAACCTTGATGAATTGTACGTCAATAGGCTTCTTTCATGGCTCTGTAATCTGCAAATGGAAGCAGGTACAGACTCTGGAAATCAAACGTGACAATGAGACATTCCAATGTTTGATGGGATACATAAACAAACGACTTACGAATAAGGCCGTCCCCCAAGTTTAAGACATCCCCATTCTATGGTCCCAGTCATATGCTTTTCTGTGTTTTATCTCTACATCCACCATGGTCCAGAAGGGTATGGTCTCAACATGACTCAACAGTTCAGGCTGGCGAAATATTCAGAGCATTGCCCATACTGAATCTATGTGTAAATATATATATATCTGGCTGGTGGTTTGGAACATTTTTTATTTTCCATAATACATGGGATAGTCCTTCCCATTGACTAGTATTTTTCAAGATGGTTTAAACCACCAACCAGTATATGTATGTATGTTATAGAAAGGCTATGCGAGGGAGTACACTCCATGTACTCAGACCCACACGGACTCGACATACTCGAAATGCGAAGCTAGAAATGCAAAAAACAGGACCTGTTGTTTGTGTATTACAGTCCTAATTTTAACACAAAATATATATTGTATAGATGACTTATTTACGGATGATTACCGAATTTAAGCATGGTGATGTTCCATAGCTATCTTAAATTGTCAGTGTTTAATTGTTTTTTAAATCACCTTGATAGCACAAGTTTCGGCAAACCCCATTACTGTCTCAGTAAATCATCTAATTAGCCCATCATATCCCCATTCTTGGTTTCAT